TTTTTTTTTTTTTTTTTTTTTTTTTTTTTTTTTTTTTTTTTTTTTTTTCTGTGCTGCTTTATGTAACAATATGTACCTATTGTAGGAGCTTAAACCATGGACCTATTGTAGCTGTAATTCAATGCCCAAATGTGCAACTGCTGAAGTCAGGTGTTCGAGCATTAGATGATTTTCCATCCGTGAGCATTCCTTTTAATGCTCGGGATAGCCAATATCAGGTAGTTTTCTAAGCCATAGCTTCCTAACTTTTACACTTGTTTTATGATTTTATTTAAACTCAACATGAAATTTATCCTATTGAATTACTTTCTTAGTTAAAAGGAAATAATGTATCACCAAATTATCTTAGTGCCCAGGTCAATAGGTTTGTTACAGGTCAGGTCAATAGGTTACTCTTGGAATTATTGATATTTAGTTTAGAGAAAAAAAGCAAGAGAAGTAGGAGATCACGTTTAATATCCTTATATTTGTTTCTAATATTTTTTGGATAAGACATACTTGAGCCTCTCTACAAGGAATCACCAAATTATTTGTTTCCTTATATTTGTGAACTCTAATTTGAAGAGTGTTCAAAAGTTTTAAACTAGTTACTGAACATGAGTTAGATGCATTAAGTTGTCTAATGTGTGCATTACAGGTTCTTGGTTGGCAACAAACAGCTGCAAAGATTGGAATGCAACGTTGTGCTGCATCATCCCAATGGTTGAATGAGAGAATCTCTCTTGCAAGATATGCCCATGTAACATCTTTTTCCTCCTTCAAATTCTTTATTTTTAAGAGCGTTGATATGAATCTTACCGTTCAAATCATATTTCTGCAGGTACCATTAGGAAATTTTGAACTTGATTGGCTAATTTTTACAGCAGATATATTTTTTTCAAGAGCACTACACGATCAACAGCAGGTTTTTTATTTTTATTTTTTTTATCTCCAAGTCTGTTGTTTTATACTTTCCATGTTGAATCCTTGTTGGCTTAAAGAATTTGGTTGATTGATCGAGAAGTTTTGAATAAATTTGGTAGGTACTTTGGATATCGGATGATGGTGTTCCAGATATAGGAGGCATTAACATGGAAGATGTGTGTTTTGTGGATGAGGTTTGTTACAAGTGGTACTTGAAATTTTATCCTATTACATTTTTCAGTAGTTATTTTTAGTTTTTGCTTTATAACGTTCCGTTAAGTCATACATAGATGGTGCTTGTAATCTGTGAAGTCTTGGCTATACTCCTTATTATGTTGTCCTTCGCTCAATGGGTTTGCGATTGGTTTCTTTGTAATAGGTCCAACAACCTGTTCTGACGTACCCTGGAGCATATAGAAAAGTTTCCGTGGAGCTGAAGGTTAAGTGTTTACACCTTCCTTTCGTGATAAAAGTTTAAATGGGAGTAATTAAGTATTTTTACCCCAATCCATGCAGATCCACCATTTGGCGGTCAATGCCCTGCTGAAGAGCAGCCAAGTGAATGAAATGGAAGGAGGTAGTTTGTTTGGCTTTGAACATGATATGCAATATGGAGCCCAACTTTCTAATGAAGACAGTGGCTTTGAAGAGGCTTCATCATCTGCGCCGACATTTCGTGTCCTGAAACAATTGATACAAAGGTGTCTTGCAGATGCTGTTACATCTGGAAATGTATATGCTGATGCAATTTTGCGGCATCTGTACCGATGGATTTGCAGGTTTCTGCTTGTTGACTGATTTATTCTATTTTAAGTAAAATTTCGCTCGTTAACTCTGTTCATTCGGTTTTTTTCTTTTTGATTGCAGCCCCCAATCAAGACTTCATGACCCTGCTCTTCATCGCTTACTCCACAAGGTATTCGTGAATGTTTTTAGAAGCAAAAAAAAGAAAAAAAAAAAAAAAAAAGCAGGATAACCCTTCATTGCATTTTGCTTAAGAAAAGAAAAGCACTAGTCTTCACATAATGCCTTCCCGTAGTTATTTATTGTATTTATAATTTGTGCTGTTTCAATGGACTGACCTACTCTTTGAAACTTCTTGTTATAATTGCTGTTGTTAGGTTATGCAAAAAGTGTTTGCTCTTTTGTTGGCTGAGCTACGTAAATTAGGTGCCACCATTATATTTGCAAACTTCTCAAAAATTATTATAGACACGGGAAGGTTTGATCTCCAGACTGCTAAAGCATATTGTGATAGCTTGCTGAAAACAGTGCAAACAAGGTTGTTCTTCTTCTCTTGTAGGGAGTTTATCTTTCATAAAACATACGTAGTTTGTATTCTGTTTTTCCTTATTATTTTTCCTTTTATCTAGGGATCTGTTTGAGTGGATTGAATTGGAACCGTTACAGTTCTGGCACTCCCTGTTGTTTATGGATCAGGTTTGATGACGTGATATCTCAATGCTCATGCTTCACTTGGTTCTTGTCATGAGTCTTCCCTCCCCACTCGGCTGCCTTCTTGATTTCTTTTCTTTTTTTCTTTCTTTTTCATATTTCATTTTCATCTTTTTCCCCCTTTTCTTTTCTGGTGTGGGTGGAACTGTTCCCAGGTACCAAATGTAACAGAACTTCCGGCATATATTTTACAGCCTTTTCAAATTTCATTGGCCAAAATGATTCTGCAACGTGCTTTTAATTATTCAAAATCAATTTTTATATAATAAAATTGCATTTAAAAGTATAAAATTAAGCACTAAGTTAGTTTTGAATGATTAAAGACACGTTTTAGAGTAATTTTGAATATGATATAAGTAATTTTTTAAAGGGCTTTTTATTTATTAAGATTTTTTATTTAAAAAAAACACTTTTGATCACCTAAAACCATTCAATAAGTTACACTAAATGTCCCTTCTATTTTAGTTTAACTACGGTGGAATCCCAGCAAAAGATGATGAGAGCACAGATATTGAATCTCAAGTTGATATAGTGGCCAACTGGAACATTGCTGAATATCTACCCAAGAAGATTCAGGTAACTATACTACTTGAGGCTTATTAGTTATTTGCTGGGGGATTGATAGGTTGATGAACTCCTGTGCACCGTCAGTAGTGTGTAATTTTTTCAGTTGAAGACAGTACAGTCAAATCTCTCGGTTAATTTCTTCAGGATAAAATGGCCTCTGAATGTTTCATTTGTCAACTCTTCTTCTGGACATTGCAGGATCACTTCGTTTTTATCATCTCTCAATTTTTGTATATTCCATGGAATTATGCAACCAAACAAGCTGAAGCAAGAGAATCATTGCCGCTTGGTGACACATGTACCCCGTCCATTACAGTTGCAGCTGCCGAATCGTTTGAATATCATGTTACAGAACATCTCAAAGAGCAGGTATAAATACTCTTCTGCCGCAAGTATTCTCTTTATTTTTTTTTTTTTTTCTCAAAGTTTCTTAATGATATATTTATTGCGTTCATCTTCATTCTCAGCTAAGCTCTTACTTCAGTGACAAACTGTTGGGAATTGTTCGTGATATTGTTCTTCATATGAAAGGGATGGACAAAAACACCCAGGATATTTTACCAGATCAACCTTCGGGTAGCATACATAAAGGAGATGCTGCATTGGAATTCATTAAGCTCGTATGCGCTGTTTTGGCTCTTGATCAAAATGTCCTGCATGATGTTCTGGTATCACCATCTTAATTCAAGCTTGATTGTGTAGTACATTAATTTTAGATTTGAATTCACGAGATTATTACTAAGCTTAGGTCCAGAGACTTTCTATGTGAAATAACTATTGTTAGGAATCACGACTCTCCACAATGTTATGTCCATTTTGAGCATAAGCTCTCATGGTTTTGCTTTAGGTTTCTCCAAATGGTCTCATACCAATGGAGATAGTATTCCTTGCTTATAAATCCACGATCATTCCCTAAATTAACCAATATGAGACTCCATCCCCACAATCCTCAAGTATATACCAAGTTGAACTTTTTATTTTCTTTCAAGTAAAAGTTAGCGTCCTCGTCTAAGAACATAGTGGTTCTTAGCCTCCATCTTCCTTCAACGTTCATTATGGAGAAGTTGTGGTTATGTTTTTGTTGTCGGTCACCACTGATGAAAGAGGAGAAAAATTATAGGACTGAAACAAGTGTCCTCTTTTTCACTCTTGGTTTCTCATGAGTTTTTCTCAGATCCATTTCCCTTATTGTGCATCATGTAACTTCAGTCCAAGTTGGCTTAGAACTGCATTTCATTCAGTGTGAATGATTATCCTGTTAATGTTTTCCCTAATGTTTAGGTAATGAGGAAGAATTTACTGAAGTATGTTCGTGTAAGAGAGTTCGCCCCAGAAGCGGAGTTTTCTGATCCATGCTCGTCCATAATCTTACCAAACGTTATTTGCAGGTATGCTAGTGATACTAACTTCCTAATATGTGTGTCAAATGCATCATAAATGGACAGCATCTTTCATTTTCACTGAGTAACATCTCTCAATCTGTTTCTACCTTGATCCCTTCTCAAACCCGAGTTTAAAGATTTTCGTCTTTGCGGTTGCAGCAAATGCTAAAATCTTTTTCTTACCCTTTCTTTTGGTTCTGAGGGCAGCTACTGTGATGATTGTCGAGATTTGGACTTGTGCCGTGACTCGGCTTTACTAGCACAAGAATGGCGCTGCGCCGTGCCACAATGCGAACAACCATACAACCGAGAAGTGATGGAGAACGCTCTGCTTCAAATCGTGAGGCAGAGGGAGCGCCTCTATCACCTACAGGATCTGGTATGCGTTCGCTGCAAGCAAGTCAAAGCAGCTCATTTGTCAGAACAGTGTGCTTGTGCTGGCTCATTTCAATGCAAAGATGTGGAAGATTTCTTCAGCAAGATGAGGATTCTCCTCAACGTAGCCACTCGTCAAAAGTTCCAATTGTTGCAAGAGTTCACCTCCTGGATCTTAGAAGTCTCATAAATTGCTTAATAAGCTAGCCATCTAACGAGTTTTCCTAACCAATACACACAGTGGCTCTCTGCTCAAACCACATTCCTGTAGTGATCACAGCTCGGGGTCGCAACAAAGACTTGAGCTTTTCTTAAACATGGTCGAAAAAGCTCGGTCAGAGCGACCGAGCCTTGAGCACATGCATAGCATAGTTGTATTTTATGATACTGTATATTACTACACAATGGATCATGACATTGTACGATTAGTTTCTCTCATTTTTTGTTAGCTATTTAGTTATAATCTTTTACATTTTGGTTTTTATGAACAGTAAAGTTGTATATAAATATTTATGGAACAATAAAATTCGAATCTGTTTTTGACGTAACTTGGATTTGATCATTTAAAAGATTGCTTCCTATGTTAAGATTTGATTAATTACATTAATTTTAAATCCTTCGATAGTTAATTATTAAAAAGACGTTACTTATTTTATAGGCATCAAACTTTAGATGTTTGAAATTTGAATTTGATTTTTATTCTATTTTGAGGGGTAAGAAATGATAGCATAATGGTGCTTGCTAAATATGTCCGTTTTATTGATTTTTACGTTTCACGTCGCACGGGTATTTTATAATAGTTTCCATACGACAAAAATGTTGGATTCTTATCGTGTGTGCAAGCCCATATGACGAAAATGTTGGGTTCACATCGTGCAAGAGAACTCGAATAATTACAATTCACATTGTGCAAGACCATACGACAAAAATGTTGATCGTGCAAGCGAACTCGAATAATTACAATGACATTTTCTTTTCCTATTATAAGCAACTTATTATTATATTAAATGATGAGGTGACAATATTTAATTCATTGCTCCCCATGAAAAATTAAAAGAATTTTGTTTGTACAAGAACCTTGATAATTCTAAATGCTCGAAATTAAGACCGGGAAATTTGTTCGCGAAAGGTTATGGCGCAAATGCTTGTGGAATTTCTCCGGTGAGTAATTTCTGGCCTTGGCCTTTGCAATCGCCATGGATTTCTTGCACGATGTTCGATTCAAGAGCACTCTTCTCTCTATCTCTTTGCTTGAATTTTACAGATTCCTCTCCTTCTCTCGTGTTTCTCGCTAGAAAATGCGGTAGATTGATTATGTCATTTATTTTCTGTTCTCTTCTGTCGTTTCTTCCATTGCTAATCATGATTGTTGTGTGGTGTAAACTTGTTTAACTCAATGTCATTCCAGAATTTCTGTTACGGTGATTCATAATTTCGACCTTAATGACAGCCAATACATCTTCTTGCTTTCAGATAAGAGCATCGAATTAATATTATTTTTATCAAGAAAGAATAAAAGAACATCATGCACTCAAAAACAATTCTCGATGGAGGGCGGGTTTCAGGAAAGGCTAGCGTTACGAAACAGATTTGGAGGTGTAATCATAATTCGATAAGCTGCGCATTGTTTTCGTTTCTGTCCAGTTTTCACAGCAGAGAGGGAATTTTAATTGTAGGGATTCCTTAATTACGATTCTACTCCATTTCAATTTGTGTTCTAATTCTGAATCCAAACACTGCTCTCTGTCAAATTTAATCTTCCCATGTATTGTTGTTTTATAAGGTTTAGGGCATGAAAAATTATAGGATCGAGGAGACAACTACAATGTAGCTCATAGTTTTGCACCATTGGATGTAGCCAAAAACTGTTACAATAGCACCTCAAATTGAGGGTTTACTAAAGGCATGAAAAATTCGAATTCACATCCTACTGTTATTACGAGACAACCACATTTTCCACATTTTCCAAGGAGCATGAAAAATTTGCACTCTTTTAATGGAGCCCATAATACTTCCAACGGTCTGATGCAGCTTTTGCAAGTGAGTCCAAAACTTTGTTCATGCTCTTATTTACGTAGTTCATTGATTTAGTGTTTGTTTCTCATAATTTTAGGACATTGCTAATTATTACAGCTCTCCCTCTCTCTCTCTTTCCTTTCTATGACATGCTGTGCCTGTCAATAACTTGATTGATGATGATAATCCATTACCTGTACATCAGTTATTTGATTCAGTTTTCATTCATAGTGGCATGAACTGTAAATTTTGAAGAATGTTGATGTCAAATAGATGATGGATCATGCTTAACTGCTGCTTGTAGCCTGCTGCACATTGTCCTCATCTCCCTCTATTTTTGCTTTTTTTCCCTCATGAACTCAATAAGTAGTACGATTAATCACTTATGCATCATCTTCATTATCTGTTTTCAAGTATTTTTGTTCATTTTTCCTTCCATTTTGAATCTAAAATGGCTTTGCCTATTCTTAAGGGATTGCTCCAAGATTATGTGCAGTCTCTGCTTAATGAGGTGACCAGCTTTTCAGTTCTTTCCTTTTCGTTTACACAAACACATATTTGTTATTAATTCAACAGTGTCATGTCTTGCAGAAGATCATTGATGAGAGGTTTTCTCAGATTCGAACAAAGCTTGAAGAGCCTGATTTTATTCAATTGATCAATGTGTATCTCAACGATGTTGAATCAAGATTGTCTGAATTCAGTTGCTTCATGTAAACTTTCTTGTAGAACTTCATAAATGCATTTCATACCATTTTCCATTGTGGGCTAACAGATTCAACCATGCAGTGATTCTGTGGACGTCAATTTCTCTAAGCTGAGTTTGATGGCCCACAAAATAGAGGAGAAAAGCACCCGGTAATTCATCTTTACTTGGATATTTCAATCTATATGTTCTTCTGATGTTCATCTTTACTCTAATACAGCCTTTGTGAATCTGAGGGTTTATTTTTATTTATCTCTTGGCTTTATGTTTCTTGAGCATTTAGAAAATGGGTATGTGTCTATTTCAGCATTGGTGCACGCCACATGAAACTAGCATCTATACATCTCATCCAAGCTTGTGATAAAGAGGATCATAAACTGTGAGTAAAAAAGATCAAAGTTTTAGCCCAATGAATTTCTTCCCCCAAGTTCTTAATTTCATACAGATTCATTCATTCATTCATTCAAATCTTTTGTATAAATTCTGTTCTTCAGTGTCTCTCAATCTCTTTGTTGGATGAAGCATGAGTTCATCAATACTCGAAACAAGCTTCAGCCAGTTCTTCAGGTTTGATAACATCAATTCATTATCTGTTAAAAGTTTAGTGAATGTTTCTGGTAAAAAAAAGCTTAAAGCATTTGATTATTGCAGATGGAACAGAGGATTTTGAGGCTTATGAGCAAGCAAACTTAGATGGGGCCTGTTTGGTTACATCTCATCGTTTATGTGTTTGTTTGTTTGTTTAAGATGAGCTTTGTTTTTATTTTCTTTTGGTTTTTTTTTTTCCTTTTAATCTAATATCATTTTGGTATTAGTGCTCCTATTTGTAATATTTTGAGCGAGTAAATGAAATTGAGTCACGTTTTGCCGTTTTAAATTGAATATATGATTAATTATTTTCGGGTTCCAATTTTGAAGAATCCGATGATTGATGAACCACTTAAAAGGACTGGTCGAAGTAATGACTCAAATTACTGTTTTAGCCTTGAATTATCGGTTACAGATATGTATAACGTCATCTATGATATAAAGGGTCTAAGCATACCTTAGTCCTCTCAACAAAAAAAAAAATTATAATTTAAAATTATGTGTATATTTATTTAGAATTAATGTTAACATTCACCCGAAAATGCGGCAAAAATCCTTAGCTACTCGATAGTTTCTCTCAGGCGCAAATCTTCTCGTACTCAACAGCTAATGGCCATGGCAGCGATCAACGGAGCTTCTATAATCTCGCCGCCTTCAAATCCTTCACGGCGGAGATAAGAATGCGCTATGAGAGGAGAAAACTTTGAGCTAACAACTCGGTTAGGTGCTCTCGGACATTGGAAGGGTCCACCCAATGTATTACGGTGTCAAATGGCAAGTGCTCAACGCAATATGGCAGTCCAGCGGAGGAAGGGGGAGAATCGACTGTGACAATAGGGTGGAGGCTATGCTCCGATATGCCGACGCCGGACTTTCAACCTTCGACATGGCCGACCAGTGTACGTAATGCAGTGCGTTAACGAACCAAAATCCACATATATTTAAAATTAAAATTATCTGTCAACGTTATCGTCTTCTTTTGGCATTTGTTTCCTTGTGCATTTCGTTGTCTGTGCGTTTCGATCCATAAACAGCTTTATTGTAGCCACTTAGCCTCTGTGCATGTCACACTTTTTTGAAAATTCCTGGTTTGATTCCATTTTGTCCTCTCTTTCCTGGTGGATGTAGTACCGAAGGAGCTCTGTTTTTGGCGGCTTGTATTTTCATTCCTTAGGATAAACGCCTCAGTAGAATGTGGAAGATAAGGATAAATCAGCCTCTGGTGCGTGGACTACGAAAATAAGCAAATCAAGGATAAACTCAAGTGTCATCCTCTTCTTTGATTCACTTAGCTTCACACAGTTAAAATGACCTAGTTGAATCAATATTTTTTTAGATTCATGCTTATTTGAAGAAACATGTGCATTTGCAAGAGAGATTACAGAATAGAAAATTGGAAATTCTTGTTTATATTCAATATTGCATATGCAGGCTTACAAAATGGGTGCCACCGTCGGTGAAGATGACTATTAGCTATGTCCGGGTGAGTATTAATATCTCACGAAAGAGAATGGATGTGTCTTCTTTTGATATGCTTCAATTCTACTGGAAAACAATTAACAGTTCTCTGTCATAACCTCATCTAATTTGAAGTTGTTCCCTAAGTTTGGTTGTGATGATGTACACTTAGAACCCTCAAGATCATGGTAGAAATATATTTTCTTTCTTATGGAACCTATAATGCACATTTTTCACAATGGATTCTCTCGTTCATACGGGAAAGCATTAGGCAAGGCTGTACTTCAATGCTGCTCTTGCCATCTTAGATTTGTGAAGTGAACTTTGAAAATTATAAGGCATGGATTGTTCTTGAAGGATCAATGAGAATCAATGAATTGAATCTATAATTTGACCATGGAACTCATCTAGGCAGTTATCAAGGTGCAGTTCCGACTTCCCTTTCATTTTTTTACTTGTCATACATATTGGATGTTGTAACGTAAACACTGTTTACTTCCTGTCATTTTTTTTAGGAAAAGATGCATGGTGAATCGTCTATGTTTCCTTAGGAACTTCCTTAAAACTTCAACTGTATCTAAGTAGATAATATCGTACTATTGTGGAAAATAATATCCCTGTTGTGTGCATTTGTCTCATTTTCTGAATTGACACATATCTTCGATGAAACTTACGAGGTTCAACACTCTATTGTTGATATGAGGCCTCAAGAAAGGGTAGCAGAGGTAAGATCACAGGAGTCGAACTTATTACGTATCAATCTGTCTCCCTCAATTTCATTTTACCAATTATCCCTATTCATAACGTAATTACTGTTCGATCATATCTTTTATTTGATTTTTCTACCCAAATTGCAATGTTTATTTAAAGCATGATTCTTAATGCAGGTATGGAACTGTAATGGTATGGAACTGGAACTGGACCTTCATTAAATACTCCCTCCCTGCAAAAGTACAAAAGGGTATGATTAATTATCTTTTATTTTTTACCTTAATGATATTTATTATGGATCAAGTAGTTCGTCACTATTATGGAATTCTGAAATGAAATTAAATTGTATAGAGATTCTTGTCTTATTTTAGACTCATATTTGGAAAAATCTTGACCAAGCAATTCGTGAATGGTGATGCTTTTTCTCAATGAAGAAGGTGGATGTGTGAGAAATCTTCTTTGATCTGTTATTTAGCCTTATTAGACATTATGCACGGGAGGATGGAGTTTGTTTCAAGTTCTCGTGTCGGTTGGAGAAGGGAACGAAACATCCCTTATAGGGTGTGAAACTTTATCCCTAGTAGACATGTTCTAAAACCGTGAGCTTGATTGCGATACGTAACAGGCCAAAACACACAATATCTGCAAGCGGTAGGCTTGGACTGTTACAAATGGTATCAGAACCAGACAGATAGTGTGCCAGCGAGGACGCTGGGTAGATTGTAAGATCTCACATCGGTTGGAGAAAGGAATGAAGCACTCCTTATAAACGTGCTTTTAAATTTATTATCGATTAAAAAGATAGATACAAAACATTATCACAAAGTTAAAACAATTGTTTGTTAGGTTTATGCACCGTCAAACCTCATTTAGCAAATATTGTCCGTTTTAGAAGTTAGTCTCACGATTTTAAAACGTGTCTACTAAAGAGAGGTTTCCACACCCTTATAAGGAATGTTTCGTTCCCTTCTCCAACCGATTAAGATCTCACAATCCACCCCTCTTGGGAACTCAGCGTCCTCGCTAGCACACTGCTCGGTGTCTTGCTCTGATACCACCTGTTACAGTCCAAACTTACTGCTAGCGGATATTGTCTGCTTTTGCTCATTACGTATCTTTGTCACCCTCACTGTTTTACAACGCATCTACTATGAAGAGGATCTAGTCCTACTTCGACCATTGTCTCGCATCGTCTAGTGACTGACTCAAACCGTTTGTAACAGCCCAAATTCACCACATATTGTCCACTCTGAGCTCTCTTCAAAAAGACAGTAGGTTATTACCCCACGTGCAAATAGATAAGGTGACGACCTTCAAATTACGATCACAAGTCATATCGTTTGGTAGGACACAAATTTTTGTGTACGATCACGAGTCATAAAATTTTCTTTTTCTTTTTTGTATAAATTATTACAATAATGAGAATGGAATAATTAAAACGACTAATAGATTTATTTCATTTCACGTTCATAAAATTTTCGTTTCCTACAATATTTTATTCCCCACACAAACATAATTTAATTTTTAAAAATTGGTAGAGAGCAATTAATCGATAAAAATAAGTAATTTTGTCTTTTCAGAAAAAATTACGATTATCTGATGACATGTTTAACAAGTCCAGGAAAGTGAACATTCAGAAAGTAATCCTCCCAGTTGATATCTTTCGGATCCATAACAAATGCTTCATTTGTATCTTTGTTTCGTATATCATTCCTTAATCTCTCCGTGTTCGTATCATCAAATCTGTACATACGAAAACAAACAAGCATTAATCTTTCACTTTATTACATTTTCATCCTTATACGTTTATATATTTTCATTTGACCTCTAAACTTTAATATTATTTAAACGCAAATACATTTACTTACATAGCATTGAAGAAGAGATAGGGGCGATAAAGTTCGATGAGACGCATCACCAAATTGAACTTCCTCCTCATATCGACGTATTTGTCTTGAAAAGAATGGCAAAATGCTATGTTTGCAAATTCGAGTCCCTACATAATTAAGCCCACTGCTAATAAATATTGTCTGCTTTGGCCCGTTACATATAGTCGTTAATCTCACAGTTTTAAAACGTGTCTATTGAAGAAAGGTTTCCACACCCTTACAAGGAATGTTTCGTTCCCCTCTCTAATTGATGTGAGATCTCACATAGAAATTTTTACCCGTGAGCTCGATGTGGCCGAGGATCGAGATTATATTTTCCATCTTATGGAGTTTGTATTGGTAAGAACGTACCTTGAGAAAAATTAAGTAGCGAATGGCTAAGTATCTATGAAACTTAGCCATACTATTGAAGAGGGTAACTTTTCCGACCTTAATGGCTTTTCCATTTTTGTCGATCAACGGTTTCTGAGTGAAATATTGATAACTAAAACGTTGAAGATCAATATGCGTCATGGAATTTCTTGCTGAAGAACCCACGTGATAGATCGTTTGATCAGACGGCTGGTCTTTATGAACTGCCATCGCCATGATCATCGTGTTTACTACTATATCGGCCGGAATCTGCATTTTTCTAAACCCGATCAATCTCGCCTTAAATTCAAATGGGTATTAGAAAAAAAGTAAGAGCATACTCATCTCACCAAATCAAGGCTTGAATTGGTACCAGCAGCAAAGCATGTTAGCTTCCCTTTGGCATATCCAACAATAATGCTATCAATGGTCCTATCAAAATATGGCAATATTGTGGTTGTTTTAATGCTCCCCACCTACTACAATTTAAGACGTATTTTAAAAACGTGTACCTAACTCCCTCGACCCAACCCGGAAACGGTTCTTTGTATGTACTCGTAACTATTGTTGGTCGAATGATGATCAGAGGTAGATCGTTTTTTAGGTCACCAATCGTCATTTCAGCCATTGCCTTTGTAAATACGTACGTGTTCGGCCATCCATATAGATTTGCCCTGATCGTAAATAAAACAAAACAAAAAACTAGTTATTACAGTGTAACGGCCCGAGCCCATCACTAGCAAATATGTTAGCTTCCCCTCAAAAATTTTAAAATACATCAGTTAGACAGAGATTTTCACGCCCTTACAAGAAATGTTACCTTTCAAGGCCCAAGTCTTTCATAGCTTGAGTTACGAACTCTTCTGTAGCGCCGCTCTCTTTAAGCTGTTTTAATTTGTCCGCTACAATAGCTTGTTCTTCTTCAATGTCGAGCCCTTTGAAGCCATTAAGAGAGTCACCCATTTTATATGAACTTTCCAAGATGACTCCGTCCCTTTCTCCCGAAACATAAGCTTAAAAACCACAAATTTTCTTCCATTATTGAATATCTAACGTAAATGTCGAAACTAAAAATCGTTCGATATACCAACCAGTAGATACATGAACAAGAAGCTTCAAATTACGACATTCCTTTGCAAACCTTACGACATGTTCAACTCCAATCGTATTGGTGCCAAGTGCTACATCGTACCTATCAAACACAAACATACAACAACGTTGTTCGAGACATTGAAATCATTAATGACACGACATGGGTTTCATACCTTTCATCGAAATCAGTAGTTGCAGCTAAATTGATAACTATTTCCACTCGATTCTTCATCTCGTCGACCCAAATGGAATCTTTCAATCCCATTTGCGAGAGCGAGATCTCTCCCGGCACCAAACAAATCTTTTCGGAAATTAAGGTATTTAGATTTGCACCCCATTTCTTCCTCAAAACTTGGAACAAATCCTTCTCAATCACCTGCAAAATCAATGGTTTGTCGTGTTCAACAACAAAAAAACATGCAAAAACTGTCCCTGTTAGGATCTATACCTCATTATAGAAACGTTTTTTAGCTTCAGTTTCATCAGCTGCTCTTAATAACAGGTAGAGTTTCTTCACATTTGGTTGAATCCCAAGTATTTTCTCCACTAAAACTGCATTCAAATGGGTTTTTTATGAACAATTCTTAGCCTCTCAGAGAAAATTAATTGGATTTTGGGTCTGTAATACTTACTTTTTGCTAGAAAACCAGTGGCTCCAGTGATCAAAATGTTCTTATTCTCAAGAAACTCCATAAGAGAGGTAGAGAGAGAGGCAGAGAGGGAGGCAGAGAGGGAGAGAGAGAGAGGCAGAGAGAGAGGGAGAGGGAGAGAGGCAGAGAGGGACAGAGAGAGAGGCAGAGAGAGAGAGGGAGAGGGAGAGAGGCAGAGAGGGAGGCAGAGAGGGACAGAGAGAGAGAGAGGCCCAGAGAGATTATGAATATAAATGGACACACTAATTTAAACCTATTGCTTTGGTATATATAGAAGGTGTGATGATTTTAGTCACATGCTACCAATTTTTTTATATAATTAAAATATGTCAATATCAAAAAAAACATAAACGTCCCTATCAATCCAAAAATATAAACGTAGACAATTAGCTGTAGACTTAAGTTGTTACAAATGATATCAAAGTAAGTATGAAAACCTCTTTGACACGTTTTAAAATTATGAGACTAACGATAATACAAAACACGTCACACTAGACTTCGACTAAAAATTAAAAACTCCATTTGATAATTTAAAAAAAAAAAAAAAATGATTATTGAACTAAAAATAGTTGAACGCTCAGCAAACTAAATATAAAACCAAGCAACCAACCAAATTTCTTTTTTTTTTCCCTTTTAATACATTTTTTTTTTTTTTTGTAGATATGTAATTACATCCGTCCTCGTCTCATTTAATGCGTTTACTCCCTTATATATATATATATATATATAGTTACGTAAGTGATATGGTACGTAATGATACACGTATTGATCCATATACTTGTAATTTATTTGATTATAAATAAGATAACTTTCACACGATTTAGGTGTGGTGGATTAATCAAATATTCTCACGTTCGATCTAGCATAGCAGGTAGATGATAATAATAATAATAATAATAAATGCACGATAGGATGATAAATGGCCTGGTATTAACGAAAAACGATCTATATGTAGAATCATAATGCGGGAATGAACGTGCTTAAAATTGGAGTTCATACCGATACAGTGTAGTCCATTTTTACTCTATAAAAATCAAGATCAAATTAGGCACTCGTGTCCAAAAAAAAAAAAAGGGCTATGATTTAGAATGGAGGAGGTGATTTAAGGACAAACAAAATAGTCAAACATGTGAATAATTATGTGAATGTTGTAGAAGATTTGGTGGGTTTATCACCGCCACAAACCATAGTTTGCTAAACAAACACGTTATTGTTTACACGTATGTCCTATAACCACATTTCACCGAATAATTTGAGATGTATAATTATGTGTAACGTTTTATGCCCAAGATTCGGATCAGGATTCGAAATTTGGATTCAAAATTTGATGGCTCCGACATTCTCCTACCTCCTCTGTGACATGATCACACTTACGGTTCGTTCCTAACATTGTCCCCACAAACTAATGAGTCCTTTTAGGATGTTTTGTCTTCATTCACATGTGTTCTCGGAAAATTTTCAAGATGTCATCCAATATAGATTTGCTCGAAGTAAAACGAGCTTAATTGTGGAGTTCCTATGATTGAGCTACAAAAAATAAAGATAGATACACGTAACGTATTTGACGATTACTTCTTTAAAGAAAAAAATTTGTCAACAAAAAATTCCAAATAATATTTTAAAAAGAAGTCTTATATGGATAAAATATTAGATTAAAGTCAATTGTGAATATAGTTGGATATTGGTGAAAGAAAATAATAAAATAATACTTTGATAATATTGGAAGATAAAGATTTGTAATTTATTTTCCTTTTTTAAATTTATGGTTTGCAATTAACGGCCCAGATCCATCGCTAGCAGATATGGTCATCTTTGGATTTTTTTCTTTTGGGTTTCCGGCTTTAAAACGCGTTTATTCAGGGAGGTTTTCACACCCTTATAAAGGGTATTTTTGTTCTCCTCTCCCACCGGCGTGGAACATCACAGTAACAAAATTTGACAAATACGTGTTCTTTATGTTTCAAAAACCAAAAAAGAAATATATATTTCTATTAATTAAGTTTTGAAATGGTGAACACGTCTAGACTATTAACCTAAACTATAAAAATTAGAGTGGGTTAAATTCTTTTTTGGTTTAAGGTTGAGTTGAATTTTTGAAAATCGAAAGTTTAGTTCGGTTTTCAATTAACGTTTTTTTTTTTTTATCAAATAACTCGAAAATAGATTTACAATCCTACCCTATTTTTAAAAAAATTAATAATATTTAACGTTTATAACTAATATTATTGACGACTCGTAAATGTTTGATATTTGATTCTACGAGATTTTAGTTATTAATATAATATATACAGATAATAAGAAAAAAATTTAATTGTCGAGCTATATTATAGCTACAAGTTATATGTGTCGGTGTGACATAAGAAATTATTTTTATATTCATCAATGTAAACTTTTCTTGGGAGCAAACTGGTAAGTTGGGAGAAATAAACGAGTAAAGTAATTTAAAATGTATTTGGTTGACGCATTCCATCAAACTTTTTAGATTTGTTGCCTCTACTTACCTAATATAATATCGTATCATACCAAATTATATAAATAAAACTTTATTGGTAGTTTTGTTGTCTTTACTGTTCTTAGGTGGCCTAATATCGTAGCTTACCAAATTATAATATAACATTAAAATTAAAATTTAGGTAAAAGAAATGGGTATGGTTGAAGCTAGACTCCAAATGAAAAGGTTTGGGACAATAAGTTAAAAACTTTTTTCATATTAAATAATTTTTTAGACTTTTATTAATTCTATCATTTTTTTTTTCTTTCTTTTTTCTTTTTTTTTTCCATATTTTTTTATTAGTTTAATTATATCATTATTTTTCTTTTTTATTTTATTTTTCCATATTTTTTTAAGTTTTAATATTTATCATTAATTGTAATCTACAAATAACAAATGTAAATTAAATTAAAATCTAATTGCTTAAAGTTATTTAAAAGTGGCCTAATAAAAAGAAGAAAAAAAAGAAGATAATTTTACTATACAAATAAAAGTTTATAATTACAGGCATCTATTCATAATAGATTTATTAATGCATAAAAATCTAATTAGCTTAAATTATTTTAATAATTCGACTGAATAAAAACAAATTAATTATCAATAATTATCTAAAATTCACTAATAAAATGGTCGAAAATAATAATATAATATTTTCGTGCTGTACCAAACATAATCATTTTTATTTAAAAGTAACTCGTTCGACATCTCAAGCAAAACCTCTCACGAAAGGAGACCTAATTGACTTCAAAATTTCCAGCACCCCAACAAGGTCTGCCTATGTTAATAAACCTGCAATGTCCTCACATCCTCCAAATAGCTTTAAGAACATAATGGAAGCTGGAAAGTAAAAAGTAGACCACAAGCAGCAGGTTAATGCCATTGCAACTCGGCTAGAAGCTTCATTAGCTGATCAACGATGTCGAAGCCAGTTTCAGAAGCACGGTTCTTGATATATATCTAGAAGTTTTAATACGCATACGAACGTATGAGCCTCCGATATTTAACACAAATATGATACAAATGTTTGTAGCTAAATTTCGTCTCAGTTGCAGAGACCTTAGTAGGTCTCCTCGGGCTGTACTGATGTCTTTAGACTCGGGAATCTACGTCATACCGATATATGGTAATAAAAGCGGCTCTGAGTTATTTAGATTACAAATGTAGAGAAAAGAGAAGTTAAATGGAAAAGGGTTATCACTTCTAGCCACCACCCTAAGAATCAACTCTTGAATTAGACCTATTACTTCGACGGGTGATATTACGGAAAGAATGTCCAGGATGGAAATCTTTTCCTATGCATATATGTATAGGGGACTGGTAAGCACAATCGATCGAGAACAAACCTGAAGAACGCAACTTGGTGTGATACATATGCTGCTTAATCGATGTCAGTTGCGGGATCTAGTTATGAATGTGATGGGGTCAATAAGAAACGTCAGTTTTTCGCTTCCGAAGGAACTAGATCCTTTACCGACTCGCCCACATGAACCTGATCTAGAGGTGGAGAAAAACTTGTTGGAACCATTACCAATTTGGAGGAAGGCTTTGGATTAGTAACTGTGGGATCAGTTTCCATTTTCTCTGCTTGCTGTGGAGCAGATTGCTCATGACATGGTTCCCGAACGCTTGATGTTGACGGAAGGGAATCTTTTGGGTCGACATTTTCATACTCGGAGAGAAGATCCATGAATTCGTTGAGCAGTCGCTGGACTTTTCTATTTGATGCCATGGCCGGAAGGATATCTTCTCTTAGAAGTTTGTGCTTTCTCATGCCCTGCATAAATGTAAATCCGTGAGTATCATGAACTTCTTAGACACCAAATTCCTCATCAAGGCAGCCCCTAAGAACAGTAATTTGAGGATATGTACATTGTGCTACATAACTAGTTCCAAACGCAAAAGATATCGAGCCTCGACTTCGATGATTTAGATTTAAGCATAGAGAAGGTACTAAGTTAATCAGAAGAAAAAGGCATCATGTATGATTAAAAAGCCATTTTCAGGACAGATTAAGGATGTCTTCTTACAAGCACACAAGGATCCCAGGCAAGATTTTTTGTATCTGTCAATGCATCTCCAGCCATCCCAGTTGGCGGTCCTAGTAAGCTCTCGCAAACCTCACGTAGTCGAGATTCATCTGCTTCTCTGTAACCAATGAAACAAGAACACCAAACACGGACATGTGAACTGAAATGCTGACATTTGCCGTCAAAAGAGATAAACTATAAGAAAATGTGCAAAAGCAAAAAAAAAAAAAAAAATGTGTTAAATGTAAATCACCTTGCCAAAAAGCGTATGTATGATAGAAGCCATTGGCGATACTCATTAGGTGACTTTAATGCTAGCGAGGACGCCATCTGAGTCTCTAGGTGAGCACGTGTCTGCATCCCATCGTCAGTGACCCTAGGATGAAGAAACTAAACTCATAAACTCAACTTCAAGATTATGTAAATAAGATCAGGAAACTACTAACTAGAAACCTATCAGAATCAGAACAATAAGAAATTGAAAAACCCATCTTCCTTCCAAATCATTCATGCGACATTAGGAATCAAACATGTTGAGATCGACATCATGATCGTGAAAATGAATCATCTCTGTTCCGGAAAATGTGAAAACAAACCAGAAGCCAAGTTTTTAACGCTTCAGAACTATATGTTGAAAAGAAAGAACAGACCTACTCCAACCTGGCTTTCTAGCTAAGTATTTCCTGATATCAACCTGCAGTGCAGCAAGTTCTCCGCTCTGAATTGACCCCAAGTTCCAAGAGCTGGAAAAATTCGATGCAGGGAAACAGTCGTCTGCTACTCTCAGCCAGCACATAAGGCTAGTATCGAAGAGAAAAGCATGGCGAGAGGCCAAAAGAACTAGAGGAGAACCAGATTTTGACAGCTTGGCAGATATAACTTTAATTGTGCCTGAAAGAGTGGAAGGATAAACCCGACAATCAGAAGGCATATTTCTACTGGAAGCAATAGAAAACACGAGAAAAGAAAACTAAAAAGAAACTTTGACATTAGCTTGCTGCTAGGGTACAATAACATTCCTAGATCAAAAGATTTCAAACGTTGAATGTTACCAGAATCTTTTGTAGATGAGTCAGGGTTCAAAGGAATTAATGATGCCAGCGAGTCGTGAAGGAGACAACTGCGGTTAAACAGATCCCATACGTACAAGGAACCTTTCCCAGTCACCAGCAACAATTTCCAGGAATCATCACAGTCAATAAATGTAGCAGCAGATCCCATCATCATGGTAGGCATAGAACGTCTACCACACTTTGTATAAACCTACTCAAAAATAAAAACATGTAGCCAAATTTGAAGCTTATATAATGTCATAGTAATGTAAAAATCAAATAGCCAGTAACTACCTGTACGCATCCATCGTCACACCCTACTGCCCAGAAATTTGCATTTCCAGCCAAAACAGTGACTTTCCCTGAGACCCTATCAGACCACAGAGTTTTAGATCCCTTAGTACAAGAAATAACTGTTTCTTTCAACATTGATGTGTTTCCGGCCCCGATAATGTCATTAGTAGCATGCTCCCTTGGTCGAGCTTCCAAGCAAATTGGCTTGGTATGTTCCCCTTCTTTCTTATCAAGCACCCTAATTGACAGTACAGAACTACAGGTAGCCAATGAACTTGACGACGTCTTCAAATTCCCAGAAGAATCCACCATCATGTTTGCATCTCTACCTGAAGAGAGAGGAACCTTCTCGATGACTAAACTATCAGTGATTGTTGCTCGAGCAGTGACCCCTGGACGCTTCTTTAAATCAGTATGTTGGCTGGGCATTCCCCTCGCAGAGCTTTCCCTTAAACATTCAGGGGAAACGACACCATTATTCTCCATTTTTTGGTCAGATGACATAGAAGGGAAATCGAGTGCACTGCTACTCTGAATCCCACCAGACTTGTTCTCCTGCGGGACAGACACTCCAACTGCTTCTGGAATAATTCTCTTTCTTCCATCAGGCCTTCTATACTCTCTTTGCTTCACAGGACTAGAAACCTTCAGGGAAGCTGATGATACCTTATTTAAACCATCCCCACTAGCTCCCCCGCCCCCACCAGCTCCCCCGCTCTTCTTTGACTCATCAACTTGAGCCTCCAAAGTCTTTGACGCATCCCTCGCATCAATTGAAGATTTTGCATGCGTCAGATTTTGTTGAGGTTCCGAAACCACTTTCTTGCTCGGGACTTGCCTTAATGAAGCTGCTTCAAGCATTAGCTGAGCTGGAGTTTCAGCTAAATTCACTTGCCGACCTCTAACATCACCATAACGACTTCTTTTTATCTCATCAAGTTCTGAATCCGGCAACCTCTGTCCAATTTCTTTCACCTCAAAATGGAAAGTCGCAACCGACCCATCCAAGGAACATGCAAAGAGTGAATATCCATCAGGACTCCTGCTCCAATATGAAAATTTGAAAATTATGGGTAGTAACAAATGAAGGTGATAGGTGAAAAAACGTAAACAAGATGTAAAGCCATTAAATGGTGTAGGCATATTTTCAGAATCATACCAAGATAAATCAACAACACTTTGAGTAAAGAAATGTTTGGCAACAAAAAGAGGGCGAGGACTCGCTGTCGTCCATACAGTTATGGTGCGATCCTGACTCCCAATTGCAATCACATTATATGATGTGGATTCTTTGCCTCCAACCTTCGAAGCTCCATTTGTCCACCCAACAGGAACAGACTTCATCTCATTAGCATTAGTTAAATTCCTCCGAAACATAGAATGATTGAATTTCACAACAATAACAGGAGCATTGTGTCCTAGGAAATCAAATGTGGCAGACCATTCCCCCCTCTCCAAAACTGGTGCAGAATGCCTGGGCTTCTGAAAACCATGAGTGGTAGTGATGAAATGTCCACAAGGAGACCATCCTAAACGTCGGAAAAACGTAGACCCAAGCTGGAAAAGAAAAACCACAACATAAATATATTCTGAAATTATAACATTTTGAAAAAAAGAACCCAGAGATAAAATGAACAAACATACGGATTTTGTCCAGTGGCCATCAGTTCGGTGAACAAGGCTCCAGTCGCTTGTTCTCCATATAATAACTGTCTTATCATCCGATTGACTGGCTATGAAAGAGCCTATGGGATCCCAGGCAACTCCTTTGACAAGGCTAGAGTGGCCCCTCAAAACAGCTGTACAAATACCATTGCTCATATTCCATATGTGGACTGTGTTGTCTAAACTCCCACTCGCTAATAGCGAGTCATCTGGAGACCAGTTAAGATCCACCTACTTCATGCATTGAAATATAACTCCCAGGTTAGATGCCATCAATAAGTAACACGTTCATCACTCAGTATAATACTTAAATCTATGAATAAGCAAATTAGAAACCATTACAAACCTACAACAGCAAGCAGTTTGCTTTTTTGCAAAGAGACATAAGGTGCTTGACTCTTCCAATCTTATTTTTTTAAAAATATTGACTAATATAAATTCAATCAAATGCATTAAGTACCGCATAAAAATCAGAAGCTAAATCATTACCACATCAGCTGTGTGCCCCCTCAAAGTCATAGCAACTTTCCAGTTCTCGATATCTGGGGGCTCCCCACTACCAAATTCAGTGGTCCCTGAACCAGGTTTCTTTTCATGAACAAGAATTGTTTGATCATCAGACCCTGATGCCACATAACGACCATGCTTAGCCCATCTAACACAATTAACTGATCCAAAGTGATCACGAAGAGTAGCAAGAAGCCTCTGATTAGAATCATCGCCCTTTAAGTTCCTACCAACAGATTTCACATTCCATATCCGAACCTGCAGAAGTACAAGATGTAGTAAAAGTGATATTTTTCCTCGCATAATTGAGTACAATTAGGAAACGTTATGAATAGCAGAAAAATGGGGTTTTTCTTTTTCTTTTTCTTTTTCTTTTTTTCTTTTTTGTTAATTACACTACAAGACAGTAATCACATAACACGACCAACACCACAACAAAAATAATAAATCCTAACTTGCTAGCATGCTTCAATGCAATTGTACTCTTGTACATCATAACTCATGTATATACGGAAGCTCTCATAAGGACTTTTAAGAAGCACGCTCTAGCTATTCAACTCATAATCCTATGATAATAAAAAAGGAGTTAAAAACTAGTGTGGAGTGGGGCTTCCATCACCTAAAAGGTATCAAGTGCCCCTCATCTAGAACTGAGTATCAAACAAGATGGCCAAGGGCTCAGACCACAACTAGTCATATGAAGTAAACAAATTTGGATGTTAAAGAGGAGAGGAAAAGATTTGGATTCAAACGGCCAACGTCTTATGGAAACTCTCATAAGGACATTTCAGAAGCACTCTCTGACTATTCAGCTCATAATCCTATGACCAATCAGAATTACCTCCTCAGATCCATAATCGCCTCATTGGAGTTCAAAATTAGTGTCGAGAGGGGCTTCCAACACATAAAGGTATCAAGTGCCCCTCATCTAGAACCGAGATTTAGATTTAGATTCAAAAGGCCAACCTCTGTTTTAAAGTACCAATGGGAGCATAAAGATATGAACTTTCCTATACAAATTCATTCCTTTGTCCTAAAAACACGAAATAAGCAATAACCATTAACATGTAATGTGGTTTTTTCTGACAAAAGTAAGACTACAAAAGAAAAAGGAAACAAAATTCAAGAATTTCATACGATTTTATACAATCTATAGACTATTCTTATCAACTATAAACTAAAGGGAAAGAGAGAGTGTGCCACTACATCTGCGTTCAATTGGTAAACAATATACATTTTTCTCAGCACCCATTTAAACACCATATTAGCCCCATTCTTGTAGTCCCCCAATTGGAATAAAAAATGACAAGAAAAAGTACCTTGTGGTCACCTCCTCCAGTAGCGAATCTCAGACCACCAGGTTGGACATCAATCGAGAAAATTTGCATGCCCTCATGCCTAACCCAACTAGGTTTTTCTGCAATCATTTCTAGGGCCGAACCCAACAACAACCCCTCCCTCCTCAGGCTGTTTCTTCCCAATTCATCGTTTTCCAACACCTTAACCCAATACTAATCAATAAGAAATTGCGTAAAAACAGAGCCATAACAGAACCCAAATTTCAAAAGAAAAAGGGTACACAAAATTCTAGTCTCGCAACGCGGTACTGTTAAGAACATACCGAATGCCGAAACAGAAACAAACAAAAAAAACAAAAAGAGAAAAACATCCAAACGCTTTCAGCTAAGAACAAAATTCCAGGCTAGAACCCTAGAATGCGGACCAGAAGAGCCCTGGTCCTAAACCCTAAAGTAAAAATCAGCCAAAACCCTAGGTCGAATAAACCCAGCAAATTGAGAGATAGAAAATGGGCAACCAATCGAAGAGATAAGAACTCGTTCCCACAGTCGGAGCTCCAAAACACCAGCGGCGTACGAAAATTAGAGTCGTAGCTGAGAAGTGCAAAAGGTGGAACAAAACAAGCAAATCAGATGTTGAAAAAAGAGAAGAAAGCTTTGAAATTGCAGAGACATTGGGTCATATTCGAATCAAAAGATGAAATGAAAAATTGAAAATCAATGAAACAGAAGGAATTAGGTTTTACGTTCTTCCGCTGCAAAATCTTTCCCTCGCATTCTTTCTTCCTACACTCGCCGCTTTTGCGCTAACCAAACGAACGCAGCGCGCCCTCACCCATATTCTGAATCGGTTCTTTATGGGAGAATCAGAATGTAGGTTTTGCTTTCTTTCTTTCTTTCTTTTTTTTTTCTTTTTTTTTTTTTTTTTTTTTTTTTTTTTTTTTTTTTTTTGTAAATTGCATAATAATACCCAAGAATTTAGATCCCAATTAGAGGAAGATAAAACTTTACTTAATTAGGGTAAGGTTATTTTGTTCACAACAATAATCTATTATTCATCATTCACCCACCTAAAAAATAAATTTCATTTACAAATACTTATTATTATTATAAAATAATGTTTAATTATGAGTTGTGTTATTAAACTTTCTTTATTTAATATATTTTTAAACAAATCTCTCAACATCTCAAAAATATTGAATAATTTTGTAACTCAAAATCAAAATTTTATAAGATATTAAATTGGAAATTCAAATAATAAATTAAATTCATAATTTTAAGTTGAAACAACCTAGTATTCAAATATATAAAATTCAGAAACCATTCAAAACATTTTAAAAGTTTAAAACTTTTCATTAGATATTAATGATATAGCATTTTTGCTTAGTATTCTCTTATTTATTACTGTGTCTACCATTTAGGCAGGATACACTCGTTATTACTAAGAAGCTGGAAGAAATGGAAGGGACTAAACAAGAGTAAGAGGGATTCACCCAAGAAGATACTTCTCCTTCCCTTTCTTCGAAAGAAAATGAGGATCTTGACAAAATCGATAAAACAGAAAAGATCTGAGTGAATGGAAAGGAAAAAACAAAGGATGAATTCCACTTTAAATGAACTCCCTGTGAAAAAATAAAAAGACTAGTTTACAGATAGAAATAGTATTAGATTTAGATACTGACGAAAAAGATATCTTCAAGTTTGAAAAACCTCTAGCAACTATTCTTTTCAACTATAAAAGATGAAATCATCTACTTCAATATATAAAAAATGTAAACACTTAGTGATAGACGTAGAACTTACAAAAGATCAATGGTTCAAATTATTCAATTTGTTGATACAATCATAAACAATGGTGCCAAACAGATGGATGAATGAATCTTAAACGTCATATCTTCGGAAGCACAAGCCAATTCAGCTTTAAAATATCAGCATTTTAAAAGCAATTAGGTTTTAATTATTTAAAGAAGGTTAAGGCATCATCTAAAGTTCAAAATCGAAAATTTTCGTAATTTTAATTTAAAATAAGCTGTTTGAATTATTAATTGAATATATTATAAATTGAAAAAAAAAATCTACAAAACATAAGAGAACAAAAGGAAAGAAGAAAACATTACTCCCATCACGAGTGTTAAAGATTGTGCAGCTAATGGTTTTGTTGTGCTAAACAAAAAATAAATAAAAGAAAAATAAACAGGAAAACTTTTACCAATCATAATATAGAACTTCACCTCAACCTGGTTGGTTCTTAAACGAAAGAGCAAACAGTACTATCTAAAATTTGAAAAGTTCTCAGAAGACTCGATATGCCTTTCCCATAGTACTCTTCAGGTACAAGCACCTCACCTGATGAACAAGAAGAAACATCCAATCTCCATAAGTCGACACAAGGACAAGGATTGATTATGTGTTAGTATGTTCTTTAATCAAAATACGAAGGTGTGATTATAATCAAAGAACTAAAATGACATGGGGGGAAAGTATGCCAGTGACTTACGTTTTGCCAATTCTTTTTCAACAAGGAAACAAGGAAATTGACACTCATTTGAACGTTCTGAAAAACTTGCTTCTCCTCCATGGCGACGTTACCGACGGCAACACCCATGCAAAGAACCTTTTTTAGCTGAAACTTAACCATTGCCTTTGTCTCGTTGACTTTAGACTCGAGGGATTCTTGGTGAGTAACCAGGGTAGGGAACTTACCTGTAACGACAATGTACATGTCGATGTTAGTAAGAACTACGAAAATATGACTTACTTATGTGAGCTGTGCAAAACAAAACAGCATTTTCAAAAGAAAAGATAGGAATTCAATTTACAAGCATGCAGTCTATCGAGAGCCTTTCAGATGCCACTAGCTTGCATCACCACGACGATAAAACTAACAAGAACTTACTAACGATCAAAAGGGTAAATTCCGGATGTCTAGTAGTTCAGAACACTTGCCTGCCTTGTTGAGCCCAGGGCCCAAAAGACGGGGAATTTGCTTGATAACAGCTTCAGATGCCAAAAAGGCATGATATTTCTTGGCAAGTTTCTTCACCAACTTCTTGTTCTTGTTTAGCTTCTTCAAACCTTCCACATCCATATAATCCATACCAATCTTCTCTGCCTAGAATAAGCATCCGCACATTTTAGTAAACGGATAGAGCTGACGTACAACAGTTTAGAAATTTCTATTTACTATGCATGAAATGCTAAAGTATATTGTTTTCCACAACAAGTACGAAGTCACTTATAATGCTCATACAGAATTCAGCATCATGCCTATAGAACACAAATGGAAACGACCATAAACTTATTATCCAGATCTAATTGCCGTTGAAAACTTCATAAATATTCTTAAACACGGTAGCTAGTAGGATTATGACATAAAATACACCAAGCCTCACACAAAATAGTACTATTAGAGTTGAGAAGCTAGCCAGATCAGATTACCCAAAAAATAAAGAGTCATCACTCCACACAGAAGAAAAAACAAGGACAACAGTAACTGGACAAGACAAGTGGAAAGGTTACGAGAATATAAAGCCTACCTCTTCAACGTGCAAAGCATCTCCAAGCATGCAAAGCTTCATCTTAGGGCGAGGGATATGGGGCAACTTCACTGATCCACTGAAACGCTTGTCCTTCTGAGGATCATAGTTCTTCAGTCCAATCTGAAGTTCAATAGTCTCAGTAAAGTTGCGCTTCTTTTCAGTGCTATCACCAAAGATAGATGAAATGGCTTCTCTCAACGCTTCACTCTGAAGTTTGCTGCAGATATAAACCAGCAAAACTACATTCAGTAAATTCAAAAAAACACGTAACGCAACTGATACAAACCAAAAGCCTCCAATAAACAAAATTTCAATTTATTATAAACGTATGAACAAGTATTGTAAACTCCAGAATTGGTAGAAACATGAACTCTTCAAAATATAGCTCAAGTAAATTCCTACTTCATACTTCCAAATTTTCCAGGAGAAAAGAATGCGAACTAAATTTATAGCCACAGCATATAAATTCCAACGATGCAACTTCATACTTCCAAATCTTCCAGGAGAAAAGAATGAGAACTAAATTTATAGCCACGGCATATAAATTCTTACGATGCAACTTCATACTTCCAAATCTTCCAGGAGAAAAGAACGCGAACTAAATTTATAGCCACGGCATATTTAACATAAACAGCCGCAGAAGCACTAATCAAAATCGTGTTCTAAACAAGATTCTGAACAGTATATAAACTATAAGGAAAAACAGTTCGACATACCTCATTTTCGGAACCCTTTCTTTTCAAGGAGCAGCTACAGACTCACTGAAAAGAAGAAAAAAGGAACAAACCTAATCAAAACACGAAGTAAACGAACAACCACACGAGTAAAAAATACAAGATAGAGATAAACAAGAACTGAATATCAAATTAAGGAAGAACAAACAAGACGAAAAAAAATGCCGCAGCGCAATAGAATTAAGTAGCAGTTTCAACAAAAATAAATCTCAGTTCGAAAGAGTGTAGATTCGTACCTGGTGAGAAGAAGCTAAGCTAGGGTTTTTCGACGGCAGCTGACAATAGATATATAATGGACGACCGAAGAGATGCGATCCAAAAAGAAGGCGCGGTGATAAACCTATGATAGGAGGACCGTAATTTTGCGAACACGATCATGGGCCGGGCTGTACGGCCATGTTCATATTGGGCCCAATATTGGCCAAACTTGTTGTCCAATGGGCCTTGAACATGGGCCTTGAGGGCTCGTTTTTCTACCATATGTATTTTATTTAGTTATTGTACTTTCAAAATTTTATAATAAGCAATTAAACTTAAATAGATTCTCATATAATACGTAATTAACACGTGGTATAAATAATTATCAAATAATAACGTTTGCTCACAAAATTTAGTAATATAGCTCAAAAACTATATAATTAAATGTAATTCTTTCGTATAATCCATAATTAACCTGTGCTCGGTTCAATTATGAACGGTAGATTTTTTAATCAGGTCAACCTGATTATTTAAAAATATGGTTCGTAACAAAACCCGAACAATAATTAAGAAATTTTTGTAACATATGTTAGTAATCCACAGTAGCTTGTAAATGTTTGATATTTGAATTTTATAAAATTTTATTAAAAAAAATTCAATTCAACCCGAGTACACTAATAAATTACAACCTTTAACGTAGGAAATAAATCACTGACAAGACGAAGCGAGCTAATAATTTTTTATGAACCGGGTTTGTTTGTCTATAAAGTAATTTCAATACATATTTCCATCTCAACACCTACTTTCTACCCTCAACGGTGACCGTGAACTGGATCGGGGGCTGCTCCGCCGCCCCTCCGCCACAAGTGACGCCCTCGCCGACGCGATTCTGTCAGCAGTCAAGATTCTATCGAAGGTCGAGTAGTCTATCCAGTCCTTTAGCAACTCTTCTTTCCCCCATTTCTCCGGCACCATCACTTTCCCGGCCACCTCCTCACAGTGCCTCTTCAGCCGCTCTCGAACCCCACTACAACTATTTAAGTTCTCACCACAAATTCTAGATCTCGGGACACCGTTGATTCAATTGTCTATTTTTTTTTTAATTTAGTCATGTCAATAGGATTTTTCAGAGTCGAACAAAGGAAGAGGAGGGTACATGCCTCGATGGAACACGGACGAACGAATGTTCGGGATGTCTTAGACTATTTGACTCATACGGTCGATTCTCGATAGGTGCTTGAGTGAGTAGTGAGGGTCGATGACGACTCGGGACTGGAGATGATGTTATGATACATGAACTATATTGTTGAGAATCTGAAGCACAAGATGAGATGCAATGTTATAGACGAGAGACTTTGACCTAGATGACAAGAACAATGATCACATAATTATCCAACCCAATTCAAATTATTATGAAAATAATCCCGAATAATTACGTCATATTAATTTTAATTTTTATTTTAATCTTATAATTATTATGCATTAAAAATTTCTAAAAAGCTATAACTTTTAACCTAATTTCCATGTCTAGAAAAATAATAATAATAAAATGAGCGGACCGTTACTAATTAAAAATAACCATATATATCGATAAAAATACAAAATTTGTTGATATTTTTATTAATTTAGTCTACATTTTAATGTGACCCAATAAGCGAACAACAAGTAACGAAGTTTACAAAGTGCAACATTGGTCACAGCAGGCTGAGGATGCTTTTACCAAAGGCCTCGGTCAGCTCCACCAGTCCTTGACGGAGACCATCATCAACCGACCAGTCATCCACGGTATAGACAACATCGTCTTAGCCATGGATAAGCTCTCAAATCTTTGAGGTTTTGTTCATCAGATAATTACGTTTATCATATCTTAAAATCACGTATTACAACGTTTTATGAAACACTTCCGCAACTAATGGCTTCAACATTCTCTTACAAAAGACAAGGTGACCAAAATTGTTAACAAGTTTACACTAAACTAAGTGTGGTTTTCAGGCAAACATTTTAAGACAACAAACATTTCACCAACTGCATAGCGGTGGGTTGAGATGTTGTTTTAGACCAAACAATTGTTCGAGTTGTAAATTTTTTAACCTAAATAATCATTTTTATAAGATAATAATAAAAAAAAAACAACCTAAAGATAATAAAAACCCTATAGTTAATGATATATTAATCTTATATATTTAACACTCAAATTATGATTTTTTTAAATAAAATTAAATTTATAAATCCGCTCTTATCTATGAATTTTGTTATCTACTTTTTGCATGATTCCTTTTTTCGAAAAGAAACAAGTTAAATTTTGGAAACTAATAAAGATATCTCGTGGCCAGATAATATAATCTCGAGATTCTGCTCAGTCAATTAAAAGAGTCATTGTTTCTGACAGTATCATAGTCATATCTTAACTTAGACATATCAATAGAATCTTCGAGTATCGAACATAGAAGTTGTGAGATTTGAATGTGGTTATAATGAATGTCGAATAAATGATGTACTTTGTTCAAGAGCTCGTGAAATAAGGTTAGTGGACACTATTTACATTAACATGAGATGTTTTGGAGAAATCATCAGAGGATAAGTTACCATATATATTTGTTTAATATAATAATAATAAATTTGGGATGAAAAATGGTATAATTTTATTTGTTTTTTTTTTTTTAGTTTTTTAAAATTAAAAAATATAAATAATAAAAAAAACCGACAAATGAAAGTCAACGGGTGGAAAAGTTGCAACGGAAACACTTTTCTCCTGAAGTTACGTTACAGATTCGCAAAACAATCAATGTCAGATAGTCACTGTCAGATCGTACGAATGGTATTGGTCGGATTCATCGAGTTGGTGTGGTTTTGGCCGCAGCAGATTTGATCTCATACCTCGCCTGCCAATCATGTGCGTGCGCCCTCATGAAATTGAATTCAAATCCAACGGCTGAAATTAAAGGATGGTAACTGACTTTGTCCTTCTTGCCCTCGTACTTCGGAATTTGTTTACCCTCTCAGCTGAGGCAAAACGGTTGCATGTTGGATTCCACGTGTCGAACAAAAAAAAAACTTTATTTATTTTTTTCCAATAAAAGGAATATAAAAAAATGGTCAGAGAATCGTCACGTTGCTATAATTTCAATTATAATATAATATAAACAAATAAACAAATACATAAATATATTTATTTATTTATATATTTTCAACAATATATTATTATTGAATTTATCAAGACTTCTTATATTTTTTTAATAAAAAAATTATTAGAAATTTATGGAAGTTATATTAACTTGTCAAAAATGTTGTTCAAATTATCATAAGATGTAATTTTTTTACTTTAAACTTGCAGATTATAGTCATGAACTATGAATATTATACTTTTTTTTTCAAATTTTTGTATGATTGAGATATCTTGATTCATACTGTTTACTAACCCAACACGGGTGCCGAAACGTATCTAAAATTAAATCCCACTTCCTTATATAAACAACAACAAAGTCTCTCTGTTTACTCATCTGCTTCTCTCTTCCTCTTCCTCCTCCTCTGATTCTTTTTTTTTTTTTTTTTTTTTAAAGCAAATTTTCAGAATTTTTGATCCATTTCTCTGCAACTCCTTCTGTTTGTTCTCAAAGGTAACATCACATCCATCGCTTTGAAACTCTGTTTCTGTTTTGGAACAATTTTCTATGATGATTTGTGGGTCAAGCTTTGCATGCAAGTTTTGAATTGGGTCTCAGTTTCAGTTTGAATCTGTTCTTCATTGTTTGGTTTTACTTTCGCTGTTGGATTTGATTTCTTCCTTGAAATGGGTCTGTTTTCTTAGCTTTTGATTTCACTCACTGCTCAACAGGGAATCTGAAAGGAAGAATTTTCTTGGTGATTTTCTAGGCATCCAAACAGAGCAGGTTGGTTTCATGTTGGAGAAATGGAGAATTCAGGATTTGAACATATGGCGATTGGGCAAATGATACCAGAAGCAGCAGCAGCAGCACAGCCGCCATCAAATGGAGTATTAAGTGACAATTTCATCTCTTCACTGAACAAAAACAACTCCATTTTATCTCAACCAGTTGATGAAATTCAGTACAAAAGTGGGAAGAATTTTGGGTGTTTAGGCATGGATGAGATACTTTCCAATCTCTGGAATGTTGAAGGAACTCAAAACCAAATTCACTCACAAACCAATGAATTAAATGAGCCTCAAAATCTCCCTTTCATGGCTGCCAATACTATTAATAATTCAAGGCTAACCCTGTCTCGCCAAGCTTCGGCAGAACAAACATACCCACAATGGCAGAAGTTCATGAACATTCAGCAGAATCCATGCTACAGCCAGCAGGGTTTAGGAGAACGGACATTGGAGGATTTCTTGGTCAAAGCTGGAATGGTTCAAGAATCATCATCATCTTCTTCAATGAAGCAGCTGCCATGCTCGATGGGGGGAAATTTGGGGCAGAACATGTCTTATCATAATCATCAGAATGCTGCTATGAACTTTCCTGGGAATTTGTTTTCAACTAACCAAATGCTTACCCCATCAGTTGGTGTGGAGCCATCTGATAACAGCTCAATTCAGATATCTCAAAGCTTGACTGATTGGGGTGAGCATAGCAGCAGGAAGAGGATCATTAATAGGTCCCCAGAATTTGTGGTGCAGCGGAGGCAGCATAGGATGATCAAGAATCGGGAATCAGCTGCTCGATCTCGGGCTAGAAAACAGGTTCCCATGCTTGTCTAATCATCATGATTCACTGATACAGAGAGCAAACTGTAAGAGATTGATAATATATAATGAACTAACTAGAGTCATGATCGTTGATTACAGGCATACACAGTGGAGTTGGAAGCAGAACTGAATCAGCTGAAAGAAGAGAATGAAAAACTAAAGCAAACACTGGTGAAGTTGTCTTTTTCTAGCAACATTCAACATGCGTTATTACATTCATTCTCTTGACTTTCATTTCCTGATCTTAATAACATCAAATATGCAGATTGAATCTGAAATGGATAGACAGAAAGAGGCAAGCAATTCGAGTCGATCTTTTCGAGATTTTTCGAGTAGGTTTTATGAAGCTTTTCGGTATGAGATTATTGTGTTGTGTTGCAGATGATGCAGAGGAAGGAGCTGGAAAAGAGACAGAAGCCAACAGAGAGGTTGATGACAATGAGGAGGGCAGCAAGCATGGATTGGTGAAGAGGGGGAAGAGTATCTGTTTTATCGACATTGAGGAAAGTTTTATGTGTAAATGTTGAAAATTTTACAGCAAGTAATGGGTTTGGCCGAGACACTATTTTACAGCAAGGAACGGTTTTGTCTGAAACACCATATATTATATTATAGGTAATGGTTGTGTCTGAAACACTAGTGATTTCATTGCATATGAGAGGTAGATACACATTTGATTCAACATTTTCAATGTTGGAGGTTCTAGTCGTGAACACGCTCAAGCCCACCGCTAATAGATATTGTCCTATGTAAGTTTTTTCTTTCGAGTTTCTCATCAAAGCTTTTAAAATGCGTCTACTAGTGAGGAGGTTGAGCCTCGAAGAGAGATGGACACGAGCCCCAAAAAGGAGTAGAATAGGGGTCCTACATATCGATTGGAGAAGGAAACGAGTGTCAGGATCGGTCTTGAAAGGGGTGGATTGTGAGATCTCACTTTAGTTGGGGAGGATAACAAAGCATTTTTTATAAGGGTGTGGCTTCCTAACAAACCCGTTTTAAAACGTTGAGGGAAAGCTCGAAAAGAAAAGTCTAAAGAGGACAATATCAGTTAGCGGTTGGGTTAGAGCGTCCAATCCTAAATTAATCTGCAGGTATTACAGAAGGGACAGAGAAACAAAACTCAGTTTACATTCCACTACCTGTCAATAGCTGAGGCTTTCAAAAGGCATCCAATTGGACACGTGGTATTCACTTTGGTGCTCCATAACACATGGAATTCTACTAGTTTGACAGAGAAGTCAAGAACAAGCACGGACGTGTCTCTCTCGGAAGTTGTCACTATCACAAAGTTATGCAACGTTAAAGGAAATCCATGGAATGGTCTCTCTCTTTCAGCTATTTTCCAAATCTTAAACTTTAGTGCTTCAAGCTTCAAACTTGGATCTGATTGCTTTGCCTTTCACTGCCTTCTTTGTTGGGGAGTGCTTTATTTTTGCTGCTCTCTCATCTGTGTTCATCCAAAACAGAGAGAAAAACTGAAAGATGAAGGTTTGATCCTCTTAGCTTCTATATTATATACACAGATGCGCTTTCATTCGTTTCTATGAATCTCTAGCGTTAATGTTTCATGGGTTTGCTACTCATTTAACCAAATCAGTGTTCTTCTGATGTTTATGCGTCTGTCTTGTGTTTTCCAGCTTAATCATCTAACTAAGAACTAGTAGAAGTTCAAATCAAAATAACAACTAACATTGGTACCTGTAAATTCCATTAAGCTGTCGGCCAAATCCTTTGAGAAGTCCACCTGATGCAAAAATGGTGTTTCTGCAAGTAGAGAAAGAACACAAGTGAAAGTTCATAAAAGAAATGTCAGAAAGTTCAAGAAAATTAGCTAATTTGTGTACAAATTTTGAAGGTTCATGAAAAGAGATCCCATTCTCACGCTCATGGTTCTGGTGAAGAAGAAAAGATAATGACAAGGAAACAAAAGGCAGAGAGCAAGACACATGAAAATGAACAATCACCTAAGAAAGTGAAGTCTGAAGACGAAAATGGGTGCCCGAACTGCAAATCTGAAACCGATCTTGCAGACGAGTTTGAATCGTTCTGTAAAGCTACAAGAGAGAGTATTTCCATTGATCAAATGAAAGAGATTCTGCAAATGAATGAGCAAGACTCCACTGGCCCTGACTATGAGGTTGCTTCTAAATGGTACTCCATTAATATCAACAACTGCAGCATCATAGGCTTTTCTTTATATCAGTGAATCATTCTTTTCGTGTATCATTTGCTGAGCTGATCTCACATTGGCAGTCAAGACTTGCTGTTCTATGGTGCCCTAGAAGGTTGCCCAGTCTGTAGTGGCAACCTGGTATTTGATGGGAAACGCTATGCCTGCAATGGATTTCTAAGCGAATGGTCTACTTGTACCTTCAAAACCAAGGATCCACCTAGGAAAAATGAAACCAATAAGTTACCAGAATCAGTCTTGAATTCTCCCATATCAGATGTAACACTCCATTTCCTGCACTTGTTTCTTCTTTTTCTAGATAGCCAGACATCATCGTACCAACAATTTTCTTAGTTGAACTCTGTTTCTTTATGGTGTAGTTGATAAAGAAGTATCAAAATCCAGGTCAACGTCGTAAGAGAAATCTTGGCCAATCAGATAAACCCTTCTCAGGAATGACAATTTCACTCTCTGGTCGTCTTTCGAGAACTCATGTAAGTCGATGGGTTGGGATTGAACTAGCATGGCACGAGTTTTTATTGTGATGGCTAACAAGTTTTCGATGACTATTAACTCAGCATTACTGGAGAAAAGAAATTGAGAAGCATGGAGGGACTGTTAACAATTCTGTTATAGGTACAATCTCTTTGTTCTCATCGAGTCCTTGATTCTGTTCCTCGCTGTAATTGGTCGCGGTTTTAATGAACAAATCTTTGCAGGTGTCAGTTGTTTGGTTGTCTCTCCTGCCGAGAGAGAACGTGGTGGATCTTCCAAAGTTGCAGAAGCAGTGTGCGTTTCTTTCCTTCTATCCAAGATACATGCAGTTTTCAGGGCTGTTTGGTTTTCAAATTTCATGCCAATAATGTTCTCTTTTCCAGTGAAAGAGGAATACGGGTCGTTCGAGAAGCTTGGCTGCTTGATAGCATTGAGAAGCAAGAAGCTCAACCACTGGAAGCTTATGATATTGTAACAGATCTCACTGTCGAAGGCAAAGGGATCCCTTGGGACAAACAAGATCCATCTGAAGAGGCACTTGAATCACTCACAGCTGAAGTACAATATCATTTTGAACATACTGTAGATTAATATTTAGAGTTCTTACCGGTTACTTTTACGTGTGTTCTGCAGCTCAAATTATATGGAAAGAGAGGGGTTTACAAGGATACCAAATTACAAGAACAAGGTGGAGAGATATTTGAAAAGGACGGGATCTTGTACAATTGCGCCTTTTCGCTTTGTGATCAAGGCCGAGGACTTAATGAGTAGCATACCGAACTTCTCCCCAGAAAGTTCTTGTTCATTAAATTTTTTTCCCAGCTGATTCTAATTCACGAGCTATTGTTGTAGGTATTGTATTACTCAACTGATCAAAGTACCTGATAAGAACTTGCATCTGTTCTATAAGAAAGGAAAAGTTGGCGATAATCCCAACGCAGAGGAAAGGCTGGAGGAATGGGAAAACGAGGGAAATGCTATAAAGGAGTTTGTGCGGCTGTTCGAGGAAATAACTGGAAATGAATTCGAGCCATGGGAAAGGGAGAAGAAGTTTGAGAAGAAACGCTTGTCTTTCTATCCCATCGATATGGTATAATCCTAGTTTTTCGGTCATTTGTTCATGAATTCGTCCGACAAATGATATTTGATTTTTTTTTCCTTGTCTATGGCAATGGTTATACTTTATAGGATGATGGTGTGGATGTGAGACATGGAGGGCTTGGTCTTCGGCAGCTAGGAGTTGCATCTGTTCACAGCAAGCTTGAGCCAGTGGTTGCCAACTTTATGAAGGTTTTGTGTAGCCAAGAGATTTACAAGTAAGGCCTCTCTATAAAACGCTTTCCCTTCCTGCGCCATGAGATCTTACACCTTTGTCCTTCAACCCCAGGTATGCTCTTATGGAGATGGGGCATGACCCTCCGGAGTTCCCGATGGGAATGCTTTCTAATCTTCACTTGAAGAGATGTAAGCCCTATTGGCCCTTCCCTTTTCCCCTTTTGTTTTTGTTCGTCTGCTCGGTGTAAAGTGGAAAACTCTTTGCAGGCGAAGAGGTCCTTCTGGAATTCATAGAGAAAGTAAAATCAATGAAAGAGACGGGACTTAAGGCTGAAGCTGTTTGGACAGATTACAGTAATAGATGGTTCACTCTCATGCACTCTACCAGACCTTTGATCTTCAAGGACTATCAAGAAATTGCTGAACATGTATGATGCCCCAATTAGGACCTTTCTACTATTGGTTGCAAACTTCCTTTTCTTTTTGGTTCATGTTATCTTAGCCGCTTAATTATCCAGGCTGCGGCTGTGTTGGAGAGTGTTCGAGATATAACAGTGGCTTCACATCTCATTGGCGACATGACTGGATCTACCATTGACGATCCACTCTCGGATCGATATAAGAAACTGGGTGGTTCTATTTCCCTTCTGGACAAGGATTCAGATGACTATAAAATGATTGTGAACTATCTAGAGAAAACCTACGAACCTGTGAAAGTTGGAGATATTGTAAGAATCAACGTTCAATTGAATACTCGACAACATAATTCAGAGAATCTCGATTATTGAAGTTCGTGGTTTGAATGTGTTTTCCAGGAATATGGAGTGAGTGTTGACAACATTTTTTCTGTAGAATCAGCAGCTCTCCCCAGCTACGAAGAGATAAAGAAGCTACCAAATAAAGTCCTCTTGTGGTGTGGTGGGTTGGTTGAATCCCTATTTACTTACCCTCACTTCAGCGTAATTGTTTCCATCTAAATTTCCTACTTTCTTGATAGGCACCCGGAGTTCGAATCTCTTGAGGCATTTGCACAAAGGCTTCTTGCCAGCAATATGCTCTCTTCCAGTCCCGGGTTACATGGTACCTAGGCAATTGGAACATTGTAATATTTTCTTATAAACATCAAAACGAACCTCAATATGGATTATCGTTTTGCTTTGCAGTTCGGCCGAGCAATTGTGTGCTCTGATGCTGCGGCGGAGGCAGCTAGATACGGTTTTACTGCCGTAGACAGGCCAGAAGGTTTTTTGGTCCTGGCTATTGTTTCTCTCGGGGAAGAGATGATAGAGATAACAAGCCCACCTGAGGTAACCTATGAACTTGATTTTCTGGCGTCTTTGTACAGTTCTGGTCAAGGTTGAATTAACTAGCAAGTGGTTGGGACAGGACACAAAATCATTAGAGGAGAAGAAGATGGGAGTGAAAGCATTGGGTAGGAAGAAGACAGACGAATCAGAACACTTTGTTTGGAAGGATGATATTAGAGTTCCATGTGGAACTTTGATCGCATCAGAGCACAAAGATAGCCCTCTTGAATACAATGAGTATTCTGTCTACGATACCAAGCAGGTATGTCTCCTATGAACTGGTAATTTTTTTCCCTCGAATGTTATGTTTCCTAATTTGGCAAGTCTCTAATACTCTGGTTCCTATACCATGCAGGCGAGTATAAGGTTCTTGGTGGGGGTGAAGTACGAGGAGAAAGAGGTGGTGATGGACACAAAGGAATGAAGGGAAATTGAAGCAGATATCGAAGCATTCCCTGCATATATCTCTACTGTCCCTTTTGTGCCTTTTTTGTACGGAGAGTTGATTCACATCACAATGTAAATATAATCATCTCTAACCTGTTGTAGTGCTCAGTTTCTGTGGTGCCTTTTCCATCGTCTTTCTTAGCTCAGCTTAGTTTCAATTAGGAAGTCTGCACGACAGTATGATGTTATAGGCTAAGGTCACCTTTTGGTGTTACAAAGCTATAGTGTTCAACATTCGAGTAAATTTCCCTGATCCCTCCCCTTCCTATAAATTTGCATGGGTACTAATATTGCTATACTCATTCTTCACATCTATTCATGATTGGTGTAAATTCGAAATCATGCTCGCTCAAAAATGTTAACAAGTTGTAAAGCATGCACCAAAATAAAAATTTTCCTTTGAGATCAGTCATAAGACAGCCTAAACGAACAACTATACACCAACAAAGAATGAAGCAAGTTATCTAATCAACAACGACAAGATCGAATTCACAAGTTATCTAATCAACAACGACAAGATCGAATTCACTTATATAAAACCGTAAGAGGTACCTTGAACTTGTCCGACAAGAAAGGTATTCTCTGTGGCCTAGCAATCAAATCGTAATAAAAATCATACTCTGCCTCGTAATCGTGCAGCCCCAATTCATTCTTCTGGTTTGTGTGATAATGATGCTTTGCTGAAGGCGATTTCCCGAATCCGAATATACTAACTTTGTCGCAAATTCCTACGGCCAACATGACGGCTTGCATACCAGAAGAATAGTGGAATAAAGGACCTTCGTGGGCTGAGCTCCATTCTTCCATCGACTTCCCTGTCACCTCCATAAAGCGTTTGACAGAGTAATATTTCACAATCCTAGAGCACAGAGCATCAAAATTCGGATCAGTAATCAGCAGCGGAGATTTGTGGGATTTGTTGCAGATAGTGTAGTCCATGAAATGTACAGGTTGACAAATGTACATGATTGTCGGCACGTTTGGCCCATAGGGGTGGCAGAAACACCCTTCTCTTCTGGCACAAAGGTGTAAGATGTTGCTATTGATGAAAGAAATGTTGGTTTTAGAGCCAACTTTGCTCTCATGATTATCTGTCCTTGCGTTGTTCAATCGAATAACAATCTCGTGGCTGTCAATCAGCTTCCCATAAGCACTGTTCAATAAGATTCCACTGTTCCCCACGACGGCACAAGCGGAATACTTTTTATCTGAACCGACAAAGCCATTCTGCCTGTCAATTGGGTCTTTGATGAGTCTTACCAGTTTCGGCATAATCTCCGTCGTGAGCTGTTTCTTTCTCACCCAGCTACTCAATGACCGCCTGAAATCCAACCAATGTCGGTAAAAGGCCGGCGAGCGGAACGTTACTGGAAAGCTATTCGAGGGCCTCGCTTTCTTGTCATAATGATTGAATCTTCGCCATGTAGCATAAGTCCTGTACGCCCTCGGGCCACCAAAGTTCGCCTCCAACAATTGATCTATATCTCGCTTCGACTGTCTCTCTCCCAAATCAACCGAAGCAAATTTCAGCAGTGTGGAATTAAACACGAATGCTGGTGGTCTCGAACCGATTACATAAGTTTCCAGCTCGAAAGAACTGAGGCCGCGGCGGAAGATGAGGCGGCAGATGAGAGGCACAACAAATGAGATGAACAGCAACACACTGAACACCGGACGGACCGTACTCTTCATCGCGAGAGTGAAACCGCCGGACCGATTTGAGGTAATGCTAAATGAATGCGGGCATAGATTGCACAGATCTTGAACCAATACGTCTCAGATCCATTTCCAAAAAGTTCGGCATCCAATGAGACGATAAAGAAATCAGTTGTGATGCTTAAATTTTGAACTCGGAGAAAAATCCGAAAAGCGAGATTTATGTGAATGCAATCTCGTCGGTGGCGACATCAGAAAAGAGTAGGTAAGAAGCAAGAACCACAGATCCAAAGATCAAACGAGAATGATACCCTCAGGATTCCAAATCCGAGAAAGAACAGTCTTAAAAAACAGCAACACCAATGCAAAAAAATTCCTAATTAACTTCTGCAAGTAACTGAACTACGAATTATCCAGTTAGAACAGTATCGAATCCAAACAATTCACCATTTAAACGAAAACTAAAGAATTCAACTAAGTGTAAGTGACTGTTCAATAAACCATTAACGAAACCAAAAGATTCAAATCAGAGTCACAAACCCTAACATAAATCCGCCGGTTCCATTGACGAATTATGAGAATCAAAGAAAGCCGCGAATCATTGGCATTGGCTTCCGGGCAGGATTCTCCCGTTGATCTCCCGGCCATTATTGCACCATTTTATATACACCAGAAATACTAATGTGCGGCGCAGTACATGGAAACAACCATACAAACAAGTCCACGTGGCTTCGTTTCGTCTCTCTTTATCATGACATTACATCAGACGGTTCAGATCACGCCTCTGGCTCATCATGTATCACGAAATTCACACCGTATCAGTTCCCAAAGCTTTACAGCTAATCCAATAAATTGTGGATTTTTTTAATACCCCAAATGGAATATAAACTATTTCTTTTAAATTAAATTTAAAATCGATGATTCCAATATGAATTGACGTGGCACCTTATTATTGGATGGGCATGGTCTTTTTGGCGGTTTGTTTGGCAATTACGAGAAAGAGCGTGACACTAAACCTTATAATATAAGATTAATTAAATGTATTGTACATTTAATTATTAGAGAATATAATATAAGAGTATAGTATTCCCCGGACATATAATTTTGCGACAAAAACAATTATTTTTGTATTTTCTTTTCCTCTTTTGGCATAAGAAGACGGTCTACTTGAGAGTCAGTTCAGCCTTACTATGTTTAGCTGAACGTGATGGGGAATATTGGTCTTTCTTTTTCAGAAAAAGAATCAAATTTTACTGCTGGTATATACTTTTAAGCCGATATTGTCTTTTTTGGCCTATTATGTATCACCGTCAGCCTCACGATAGAGAAAACGTGTCTGTTAGGTTGAGGTTTTCATACCTTTAAAAGAAATACTTTGTTTTCCTCTCCAATCGATGTAGGATCGACACACCTCTCACTGATTTTGATATTACCTTTCGATTTGCGCATGTCGTCCTTGCAATGGGGGCCTAGCGTTCTCGCTAACATGCCTTAGTGTCCGACTCTGATATTATTCTCGATTTGTGTGTGTCATCTTTGTGTAGGCTCAAGCTAATCTTCTCTATATTGTCCCAATTTTATCTGATGTCCTCATTTGTAACAATCAAACCCATCGCTAGTAGCTACTGTCAGCTTTGGCCCATTACACATCGTCGTCAGATCTCAACTGATGCGAGATCTCACAATCCATTCCCTTAAAAATCCAGTGTCCTCGCTGGCATACCACCACCCGGTGAGCCCAAATCCATCACTAGCAAATATTGTTTGTTTTGCCTCGTTAGGTATCGTCATCAACCTAACAATTTTAAAATGCATATATTAGGATGAAGTTTCTACACCCGTATAAAGAAGGCATAGAAAATCAACTTGATTTAGTAAAAGTTAATGGACATTAAACATTATTTTCCGAAGAAAGCATTTAAAATTTTAAGCAAATGAAAAAATAAAAATAGTTTAATTGAATAATTTATTATTTTAAGGACCTAATCACCCTTTTAAATACCATTTTGTAGGGCTTCTGACTTTCACGGGAAACAAATTGAAATATAGATCATATTATTGAATTTTTATACAACCATCAATATTTTTTGCGAATAGTCCCAACGCCGTCCCGCGGCTGTCAACTCCACGCGCTGGCCCCACACCAAAGAAACTGAAAAGACCATTTTGTCCCTCTCTCTCTCTCTCCTCCTTCAGATCCTCTGTAGTTTCTCCCCTTTCACCACCGGATTTGCCTTCGCGATCTGATCCTTCCCCATCCCTTTGAAGTCAAATTCACACCCGTGTTGCTCCGGGTACCGGTGAGTCCCACAGTACACCATCCCACACCTACACTTGAACCCTGTCAATCCTACGCGCCGCCTGCACGTCGTGCATCGGCTTGCCTGCTGCTGCGCCGGCGCCGGAGTTACATCTGCCGCCGCCTGCGCCTTCTCCTCAAAGGACTGGTTCGCTTCCAATGAATCCGATTCGAGATTTAACAACGACGCGTCCGCAAAGGAGGATGACGCGATGGTGGCAGCGGCGGCGGATGTTAGGGTTTGGTTTAAGGCGAGTTTGGCGGAGGAGGATTGCTGTTCCTTCAACTGCAGATCTCGGTAGCACTTTGAGCAGAGATCTTGCGTCGCAGGACTCCCGAAGAATCCGCAGTTGTTAACGCAAAGCTTCGGCGCTTGGCATCTATGTTCTTCCGCCATTCTTTCCGGATCTCAATTCAACAACTCAATATCTATAAATGTACAACAACATAAATCAAACGAAAAAAACAAATCAGATCCATCGATGAAAACAATCGAACTCCAAATCAAATTCACACGAACAAGAACACAACCTCTCCAAAAATCCAGAAAACGAACAACATCAAACAAAAATCTTCAGAGAATTACCTGTTTGCGATGATTCAAACGATCAGCAGACAATCGACAAAATAGCAGATCGAACCGAATATAATTTGTTCCGAAAGAGAGACACAACGGAAGAAAGGAGAGGAATCGAAACGCTGGCTTTGAAGGAAAACAAAAGAATCTCCAAACCGATTATAATGGGAACGGAGATTGTGAGTTATTTGGAGATTCCTTTTCTGCGTGGTGGAAAGTTCCAGACAATTTCCTTTGCTGTTCTTCCTTCTTTCTTTTCCTTTCCTTTTTCTTACTTTTTCCAAATTATCTCTCGTGTTTATTCCTGATAATTCAATTGCTTTTATACTTTCCTTTTACTCGTTCATTCTTTGAATTTTTTTTATTTATTTTTCACTTCAAATTGGCACCAAACAAAACGCCGATTCCCTCTTTAAATACGCGTTTCGTTGGTTCAATGCCGTATAGAAACTCCGCGTGAAAACGAATACACGGCTGTTAGTTGGCTGGCGATCCAAATCATCTAGAAATCGCCGAGCTTCTTCCCCAGGCGATCCAAATCGTCTACAAATCGCCAAGCCTCTCCCCCCGGCCCCCACCTTATTCCGTCTTTTTAATATTTATCATAAGAATTTATTTATTAATATTATTAATTTTGGAGCATATTTAGGTATACTTCTAAGAACATGAAAATGTTGACTTTTATCTTCATTTTGACTTATGAAAATGTCCAAAAATTCAACGAGTCAGAGAGCGCCCAGTGTCGCAACCATATTATATGAGATTTGTTGTAATGGTCTTGATCATTTTCCATCCCGTGTTTTGGTACTTGTAAAGAGTTTCTTTTATCTCCTGAGCTCGGATCAAACCCTCCATGAGATTTATAACTGCATTGCTTACTGTTTTTTTTGTTCATAGACTTATAATGTCACGAACAGTAAGAATCGACAAAACAACTCAAACTTTTATCGTAACATTTAGCAACAAAAAAAATCTTTAATCCAACAAGTGCTGTTAGAGCTCGGATTTAAATTTCTTACCGTTCGAGTATTGAATGTGTGCCATCTTTGTATCGAGAGCTTTCTATAGGAACTCGCATATCCTTCTTGGCTAAGACTATTGCGACAGAGGCTTGCAGCTTAAAAATTCTAGGTAATGGTTTTACGAACCCTCTAATTCTCACGCCGCCTTTATTACGCCGTCAATTAATGCCACGAACCCTCACGGTGGTCTTAAGCTTTAGGATCAATGTCACATTAAATTTCATGCCAATGTGCTGTCTGAACATTTTCGTAGCTAACTTTGTTCGCCAAGTTCTCCCTGTGGGAATTCTATGGACCAAAGCTGTTAGGATCGATACTAGTTGTTAGCTCTGATACCAATTGTTAGGATCGCTCAACAACGCACACACTCGCACTGGGTCAAGATGAACACAAAAACATGAGAGAGAAAATATAATGAGGAATATTGGCTAAAAGTAAATGTTTGAATTTAGTGTCGAGTATTGTTGTGAGACGAGTCTCACATTAGCTAATTAAGATAAAGATCATGGTTTATAAATCAACCCATTTTCGGGAAACTAAATTCTCTAAAAGTAAAGTCACGAGAGCTCATGCTGAACAAAGTACAATATCATATCATTATAGAGGGTCATGGTCCTTAACATTTAGTTCACTACATCCCCAAACATATTTTGATAAAGGCCTATAGTTAATCTGAGATGGAAATCATAAATATATATTTAAAAAATTAATTAATACCTTCCAACTTAAAAATAATAATAATAAATACCTACCGTTAGCATCATATTTTAAAAATACTCATGAAATTTTATTATCTTTTACCTTTCTTAAAAAGGTTAAATTTTTTTGTACCGTAAATGAAAATATTAATAATACTTTGGAAGATTTATGAATATTTCTTTTAGTATTAAATAAAAAATGTTTTTTTAAATTTTTTATGATTCCATCTAAGTTAACCTTGGAAATATTTTTAAATATATATTTTTTTTAAAGTTTAAAAGCGTAAGAAAAATATTTACTAATTTAGTCCTTATTACAACCATTTGTAGTTTTCAACACGCTACTGCTATTTGCTGAACCGAGCCTAGCCTCCCACTGGCGCAACTCTTTTTTTCCTTTCAATTTATTCCCGTGGTTGTAAGGCTGAGTATTGTTTTTCCATCGGATCATTCCGATTCAAGCTTCATCCTCCGATCTTCAGATACAGATATTCCGGTAAATTGTATCTTTCTGTGGGAAATCATCACTTGAAATCTAGGTTTTCAATTGTTTATATGCTTTGAGATTCCGAGTCAAAGATCGATGTTCTAGGGTTTCCGTTTTCCGAGGGGAGACGATTTGCGATCGCGCTGTTTTAATCTATCTATGAAACTTGGTTGAAGTTACTCCAGAGATGTATAGCAATTTCAAGGAACAAGCTATCGAGTACGTGAAGCAGGCGGTACAGGAAGATAATGCTGGCAATTACGCGAAAGCATTCCCACTGTATATGAACGCCTTGGAATACTTCAAAACTCATTTGAAGTATGAGAAGAATCCGAAGATTAAGGAAGCTATTACCCAGAAATTCACCGAGTATTTGCGCCGTGCCGAGGAGATACGTGCTGTGCTCGATGATGGCGGTCCAGGACCGGCTTCCAATGGGGATGCGGCGGTTGCGACTAAGCCCAAGACGAAGCCGAAGGATGGAGAAGGAGGAGATGGTGAAGATCCAGAACAGGCTAAGCTGCGAGCCGGTCTTAATTCCGCGATCATAAGGGAGAAGCCGGACGTCAAGTGGAACGATGTCGCTGGATTAGAAAGCGCCAAGCAGGCATTGCAAGAGGCGGTAATATTACCCGTGAAGTTCCCGCAGTTCTTTACTGGTTAGTTCCATTCAACTTCTTTCGATCTACTGTCATATTGATCTCTGTTGTTTGATTGCAATGATCTTAATCACGTCAGTAAAGTTGCGTTGCCTCTGGATTTCCTGCTTTTGAGTTTGATTTGATTTGATGTGTAATGATTACGACTATGCTGGATTGGAATGCTTGGTTGTCCTGTCTGTTCTCTAGCTTCAAGTTGAGAGGAGATCCCTGAGTTCCGACTTCTAGTTTAAGTATAACGGTGATTCTTATCCTAATAAACTGCTTGGATCCTATCCTTCTAATTACCCAATTTGACTTGAAATAAACTTGTGTAAAGAACGTGTTCTCATTTCCAGTTGTATTCTATTATGAAGGTTTCTGCTTACTTTTTAAATAAACTCGTCAAAGATCATCATCTAGTTTTATTCAGGTAAGAGGCGACCATGGAGAGCTTTCTTGTTATATGGACCTCCTGGAACTGGAAAATCATACTTGGCAAAGGCTGTTGCTACGGAGGCTGACTCAACATTTTTCAGGTAATGGTTCTTTGAGCCTATGATCTGTTTGGTTGTGATAAGTTTCTTCACTGCCCTAGCTGTTATCTTTTAAATGTTCTATGCAAGCATATCTCAAGAATTTATGATTGAAAATTGGATGTCCTGTTTTTCAAATTCTTACTGAAAAGTTCCTGTTCATCATATTTTTTATGTAGTGTAATTAGTTGGAATTATTGTAATTTTTTAGTTTGATTTTTTTCGTTTGTTAGTAATTGAATCAGTGGGCTAAAATCTTATTTGAATAGAGAGTTAATCTCTTGCATTAGCAAAACTTGAATAATAATGAGATTCTTGTTGTTAATTCTTGAGAGTTTTAGACTGTTAGATGGGACCATCTGTTTTGCTTGGCAGGAAAGTTTTGAGGAAAATATGACTGAAGGTAAAGTTACGAAAAAAGAAGTTTACTATACAAAGTTGTTTAGAGAGGTAGCAATTTAGTGCGCAAGATTTAATGTAGGATACATCCATGCCAAATTTAATTATGAGTGGTAGAACCTACCCTGTCTATTTCTCTTGACAGCCCAGGAGAATAAATGCACTCGGATTTTTTCTTCTTATATTTGCCTTTTCTGAGTGCAATCTGTAAGGTAGGAATTTTCTGGATTGGAATCATCTTCCATTATTTAGTTGCACGATGAACTTGTTATGGTTCTTGACTTTGACAAACTTCAGGAATAAAATTAGCTATCTTTTTAATTATTTATTTTTTGAAATAGAGTTCAAACGCATTTGGTGGCTGTTGACTGTTTGAACTCATTGAACAGTTTCAAATATAAATAAAGTGGGGAAAATAATTGATGAATACAAAGGCTTTTGGTTATCTATTTTCTTTGTTTTTATTCCCATACTATCTGATAGCAGGGCATACATACCCCACATTCTATTTGGATATCTTTGGCCGTTATATGAATGTGCTTTTATTAATCATTAATCTTGGCTACTTGCTAGTTTTTTACCTCTTACTTATTTTTATTTTCTGGTGCTAGCATTTCTTCCTCGGACCTTGTCTCGAAATGGATGGGTGAAAGTGAAAAGCTAGTTTCAAATCTTTTTCAAATGGCTCGAGATAGTGCTCCTTCTATCATCTTTATTGATGAAATAGATTCATTGTGTGGTCAACGAGGTGAAGGTAATGAAAGCGAAGCTTCAAGACGCATTAAGACAGAACTTCTTGTGCAGATGCAGGTATGTTTGTAGAGTAATGGCATGCATATTTTGTGTATTAAAGGAGGGTTTTTATTAGTATCTTATACTTTGTTGGCCCATTTCATTTACCTGAGAATGCCCAATTGCAGAAAATGCGTCTTCACTTGCTTTTGGCCTACTTTCAAGTGTTTTCTAGCTGGTTGAAAGTTTGCCTTCGATTGTATCTGAAGAGTTCTGTAACAGTTAGGAGTCCAATTACTTGTTTCTTCGATTCTGGCCATCCACCTGGGTTTGCACTGCTTCTTAAGTCTTAGGTTATAGGATATCTGGTTTGTTTCCTATCCTGTTAATATCCAACAAAAATTCCAACTTTCCCATGTCTACTTGGTTCGTTACCCAGCTCTCATTTCTATTGGTAGTTGACCAAAGCTGAGGACCTAGATGAGCAACCCTGAGTTAGAGGGGTTTGAGCTCATTAGCATTCTATTATTTTTTTTTTAAGGTGCCTAACCCTTGAATGTATATTCCGTAAGTTATATGCATGTTTTTTGTTTTTTCTGTTTGCTTTTTTCATACGATCTCTGCATTGAAAAAGTAAAAGTTAGCACTTGTCAGATGAATTTTGATGCATAATGGAATTTGCTCAATCACTAGTCCAATTTCTATTTAAAATTAAATAGCCTACTCAATGTTACACTAACTAATCTATAGTTAGTTGTCTGTTATTTTACTTTGGAGAATATTACTTAGTGATTCGTTAACAAAAGAAATAAATTGGGTAAAGGGGATGGAAACAGTTTGG